CTATTGGCTGGGGACCAGCCAATGGGAATTGAGAGATTTTGTTGGGGTGAAGGCAGTGCATGATGCGTCCCCACATAGTGCAGAGAACCACATGGAACAGAGCAGTCTGAGGCGGCTGGCCAGGAGCTGCTTAGGTAAGCACCTTTCTGCCAGAACTTGCCTCTTGCACCCCAACTGCTCACAGCTCCCTCACAGACCCTACACCAGCTTCTGCATCCCTCCTCCAGGCCAGAATCCCTTCCTGCACCCATGCCCTCTACTGGACTCTGCACCCTAATCTCCTGCCATCACAACCCCCTTCTTCACCCAAACTCCCCCTCAGCTCCCACACCCTCTTCTGCACCCCAGTCCTCTACCCCAAGCTCCCTTCTGCACCCAGCCTCTGTCCCAGACCCTGTGCCCCCTCCATAGGAAAGTTTGGTCCTTGACCACTTTTCAAAATTTTGGAGTGGCCCCTCATCAAAAAATGGTCTACCCCTGCTCTGGTGTGGATTCTTCTCCGGGTTATCTAGCACTAGGGGGCAGCAGAGGCCAAGCGTTTTCATTTCCCCTCCTAAAGAAGAAGGCAGAGCAATTTGTCACTCATCTCTTGGTTTTCATGTTGCCCTGTGGGCCAGGTAGGGAATGAAGTGCCAGGCCCCTTCCCTGAGTGTCTTCTAAAAGAAAGGAGTAAGCCAGTTCCAGACTCCGTCTGGATTTCCTCTCCTGACCTAATGCAAGGGAGAAGTTCAGACTCAATCCACTTCAGACTTGGGTGTCTGGATGCTCCTGATGAGACCCAGTGCCAAGGTCATGGACCATTTCAGCACAGACTTACCCGTAAGGGAAGGTAAGCAAACCTTGCCCACCTGTGTGTCATGTGTTGCAGGGAAATCCTGTACATGAAATAAACCTGCTTGTGTAATGCAGCCAGGCGGCAAGGCTGTGTGATTGCATCTGTGGGCAGGCCCTGCAAAGAGTCAAAGAAGTCGACATCTACAGCTGATGATTATCCTGTAGCTAAGTGCTGGATGCTTGTGTCTAGTGATGTACGATATGAATATGAACTAACTGCGGCAGGAGAACTGGGGTTTGATAGGTGGGGGTGGCATGGATCCGAATGATAGGCTTAAAACCCGTTACCTACCATGCAGACAGGATGGTCTGCTTCAAAGTGGGGATTCTCCATGTCTAGAGGCAGTGATGTCCCTAGCATCATGGTGTACTCTGGTCCCATGGACAACACCAGTAAAAACCTTAGTTGGCTTCTAAAGACTCTCCTTGCATTTGTGTAAACTTTCTATTTGTTTTTGACATGGGCTGTTTTAAATCCTTTTCATATGGATGTGCTGTGGGGGGAGAAGGGCTCGCTTGCTCAAACTTTTGTAATGAGAGATTTCTTTTTCCCTGGAAAAGAGGAAGCTCCCTCCCACAGGGTGGGAGAAGAACCCTTGTTTCTGCCTGAAGAGTCATCAGACCATTCCTCACCAGCACACATCCCTTCCTTTGGGCCTGAATTGGGTCTCAGAGTTGGGAGCAAACAGAAGAGAAACACAAAGCCATTGATGAAATTACATGTGAGAGAATGGATGGGATCAGAGCAGTGTATAGAAGGGGAACTACATCTGGTTTCACAGAACAAGGGCCTGGGGGGGATCCTTCGGGCTCAGAAGCCCTCCTGCCGGGATTCTGCAACTTCTCGATACTTAAAAAACAACAACACAGATCCTTTGTGATCCATCTCCTTCCTGATGTTACAGCTCCTCTGTTGTACTTCTAGGGTAGGGATATGTGGAAAAGAAATATGAGGCAAGTAATGAGGCTAGATGATTACGGACTTACTCTAATACAATGGGAGCAGCTTCTTTGTCCCATCTGTCCATCCCCACTTGGTGTTTGAGTAGCCTGTCTCCTTTCCTGAACCAGACACCTTGACACTGGTCAGTAATGACTCACCAGCTGTGCTGCTGCCCCTTCTCTGCTCTGTTTACCCTTTGGTTCTGTGAATTCCCATTTTCCCTCCAATTTTTGTATTTTCTGCTTAGTTGATCCTGGTGGAGTTTATATCCAATAAACCCTTGAAGATACCATGCAGCACTCGGAGGTCCATTTATTTTTGTAATAGCTGTCCTACAAAAGGCCTCTGGAAACCCTCAGGCCACCTCGACACTAGCGAAGGTGGGAGAGAATGCTCTCGTTGTCATAACACAGCCATCTCATGAGAAACAGTAGCTGTCATTGGGAGATTCCAGACTGCTATTTATGTTGGTGAAATTTGTCACTCTGGGGAAGGGATGTATTTTTTCACATCCTTGAGTTAAATAAATTTTGCCAACGTAAGTGATAGTGTAGACAAGGCTTAAGTGCTCTGCACAGCTACTAGCAATGATCAGCAGTGGATAACTGGTGTGGGTCAGCGGCGCAGCACTGTGGATGGTAACCAATGGTAGGTTGCTCTAAGGCTGTGTAGCACGTGTTAGAGCTGAATAAAGGAATTATGACAGTAGATGGTTTGTGTCCTATAAATGTTCTGTTCAGTCTGTGTCATCAAAGGCAGGCCCAGGGAGAAGCAGCTCTTTAACTTAATTAGGTGCAACTTCTGTTGTTAGAACATGCAGGTAAACCACCTCTTTTTTGCGCTTGGTTTGTCTGTGGGAACAAAACAGAAAAGGGAATTGGGAAGAATAAGGAAAAGGAACAGATGCTTGCCCAAGAACGAAAAGAATGACCAGCTAAAAAGATGTATATTCTCGACTCTGACTAAATCAAGAGAAAAATGAGTTTGTGGTTTACCAATCAAGAAATGACCCTTTAAATTCTTGTCCAGACACAGAGCGGAGCTAACCTGCAAAGGAATCAGATTGTTTTAAAGCTCCATTACATTCTCTATTTCATAGCAAAATACTAGCCTTTCTTATAAGCACCAACCCAGTACTAGTCATTTAAAGGACGGTAAGGGCACGTCTACAGCAGTGTTATTCCAAAATAACGTAGTACGTGTCTACACAGCAAGCCCATTATTTCAAAAAATACATTTTAAAAAAAATGGCTTCTTACTCTGACTTCTGTAAACCTCATTGTATGGAGGTATAAGGGAAGTTGGGGGGAGAATGCTGTACTTCAAAATAAGTGCTGTGTAGACAGCGCCAATAGTTAAAATAAGCTATTTCGACTTAAGCTACGCAATTGATATAGCTCAAGTTGCCTAGCTGCTTATGAGTTTAGCCCTCTGTGTAGACATGCCCTAAGTTTGCACCAAGTTGTAAAGAATGTATTCAAACATCCCAACTAGGGTAGCATCCATACTAGGGATGCTAAGGACTAGTCGACAGACTAGTCGAATAGTCGCTCTCCCCCTCCCTCTTGCTACCTCTATCAGAGACGTCGGGGGAGGGGGGAAGAGAGGTACTTCAAAGTGTCAGCACTGCAGGGAGCCTGTGCTCTGTGCAGTGCTACTGCTTTGAAACGCTGCAGCAGCATTTCAAAGGGGGCAGTGCCCATGGAGCCTGGGATCAGCTGTTCAGCACTGCCCCTTTGAAATGCCATAGGGATTTTAAAGGGGCAGCGCTGCCCTATCGACTAATCAAATAGCTGATGAAAAATGCATTGACTAGTTGATTAGTGAAATACACCCTACTTAACATCCTAAATCTATACGCCATTGTGACTGCTTTGGGGTTTGCACATTGTAGCAGGTCCACTGCCGGGGTCTGAGAAGGGGAAAGGAGGCAGTTGGCATCGGGCCGAGTGAATTAAAAGGGCCCGGGGCTCTGGTTGCTGCTACCACTGCTTCTACAGGAGCAATGGTGGCTGGAGTCCCGGGTCTTTTAAATAGTCACCTCAGCAATGCTCCGTGTGTGTGTGTGTGTGTGTGTGTGTGTGTGTGTGTGTGTGTGTGTTAGAGAGGGAGGGACAACAGTGCACTGTGCTCTGGGTCAAGCTGACAGCTATTACATCCAGCCCTGCCCCTTTCTCCTTTCTGTCTGACGCCTCGCCCCTTCTGGGAGCATGGAACCACCCTCCCACACCTTGCCCAAAGTCCCAGCAAGTCTGTCGTCCCCTGCAATTTTTTTGCAATAAAATATGGATTGTTGGAGAAAACTGTTTAACAGTGATTTGTGACATAGGCCAACAAAATGAAGGAAATGCCAACAGAGGCTGACATGCAGCTCAAATAGTGTATTGGTCTTTACTTTCTGATTTTCCTGTCTCTTGTTGGTGTTACCACCAAGCCATTCCCAAATTCCTTGCCACAAACCATGGAGATGATAGAGCTTTTAAAAGAGACTTAACAAGAATTTCTTAACATGGGCAAAGAAACTACTTTTGTGTAATTTAAGCAGTATTTTGTGTTTCTGAGAAAAATAATTTCCTGGGACATTTTATAAAGCATAGATTTTTATCCCAAGTTCTGCCTTAGCTAAAATATGTGTAAGTAGAAAGGCATTTTTGTTTTGTCTATTATATGGCACACAGTTTTAACACTGGAACAAAAGTTGCCAAAGGTTGTGGTGGATTCTTCATCTCTTGAGGTCTTCAAGACTAGATGCCTTTCTGGAAGATCAGCTTTAGCCAAATATAAATCATTGGGCTCAATACAGAAGTAATTGGATGAAATACCATGGCCTACCATATACAGGGTCTCAGACTTGATGATCTAATGATCGTTGGTCTTAAAATTTATGGAAATACATATGTGATAAAAAGTAGCGTCAATTACTGAGAAACTACTAGCTTCCCTCCCCCCGCAATATCTATGCATGTATTTTAGAGATATGTGCATCTGTCTGTGTCTATGAATCTGTTCAAGAACTCCTAAATGGTAAGAGCTTTGGCATGCAGCTTCCACTTATCCTAACTTAAAGCAAGACCAGACTGTGGTTGTTCCAGGAAAGCAGGATGTGCCTAGAATTTGATTGTTTTCCATAACATGGAAAGGGGAGGGACAGAGAGAGGAGGGATGTGATCCTCACAGTTACCACTGGGAACAACGAGCACAGGGAGGAGTGTCCTGTAGAGTCACCACTGCGAGCAGCCACACCATCAATGGAGTGGCCAGCTGCACACTGGACTCTCCATCTTGCCTGCCACTGGCCAAGGCAAGTGGCCTCCCTGCCTCAAACCTCTCCCCCGTCATCCTCCGTGCCAAACTCGGGGGTGGGGGAAGCCCTTCCCAGCCTTACCACTATGAAACCCCCTAGGAGTACCACTGGGGCATCTTACTGTCACCTCTCTTCACCCTGCCCTGGGCCAGCCAATCCCAGTCTCCCTGCCCAACTTCTAAACCAATATGCCTCCCTACTCTACGCTGGTATCCCATTGAACTCCACATATTTGGTATTCACGCTGACTCCCACTCCTTATTCCCCTACTCTTGGGGCCCTTGTATAACCTCAGTGCCTGTCCCCGATTCCTTTTCCCAGTCTGCTTGCCCATCCCATCCCAATATCCTCTGGCTTCTCCTCAGGTTTCTTTCTCACCAACTTCCCTTCACCCTTCTTGTTAATTCCAGTCCCCTTGCACAGCCAATCTGTCTTCTCCCCTTCTATTGGTTCCTAATTCCTCTAGATCCAGCCCCTGTCTCCTTGCTCAGACACTACTTTTGTTCCCTCTGGTTCTGTTTGTGTTTGGCTTTTGTCCCCTCTGCATTTGAATCAGAGAGCTTCCTGAGCAGCCGGTCACTGAGAGCACTGGGAAGTCAGGGTCCTTACACTCCATTCAGATGCATGGGCCTGGCATTGCTCACAGCAGCTCAGGGCTGCATGTGCAAGGAAAGCCCTGATTAGCCACAGGTTGGAGCATGCCCGGTGCAAACCAAATCTTTGGGGAATTTACTTCAGGATCTCAACTCAAGATGTACAAACAGCAGGGTTTTTCCCCCAATCATTTAAAATTTAGGACCACATTATTCTAGGAAGAGTATCAGGCCTGTCCTGGACATGCAAGGCCACCAGTCACAAATTCCTTGCTTTTAAAAGAGAGGTCACAAGAATTTTTAACACCAGCAAAGTAAATGTCAAGCTTCATTCATGAAGAAAATTATCTCTTCTCCTTCTCCCTCCTCCCCCCCAAATTCCTCCTGAGGAAGATATCCAGCATGGAAAACTTCAACACTATCTCCTGGTTCTTTCCTCTTCTCTTTCACTATCAGTCCCAGGTGTGTCTTCACTGAAGTGCACAGTGCCACATTCTCAGCTGATGTCAGTGGAGCTGTGTCAGTTTATAGCAGCTGAAAAACTGGCCCATAGGACTTGGAGCGAGTGAGCCTGGTCAAGTGCTGGGTGAATACCACGTGTCATTTTCCAAGAGTACCTGCTCACAATCGTTTCAGCCCTGCTTGTTTCTCTCTTAATGGGAGTTGCCCCTGAGTATTTGAACAACTGTTTTATTTGCACAAATACATATGAAGTGTTTCCATGTTTTTATAAATCTCCTCTGATGTGCTTATGGCACACATTAATTTGGCAGCCATTAGTATTCTGACTGGAAAGGATGTGTCAAGTCATGTCCACGCTACATAAAATATAATTAGGAACAGTTTTCCTAAAGCTCTTTGCCCTTCACAAGGGCAATTAAATAAGCCAAACGAAAACCTGACTTTCCCTTGCACAACTATGCCCTCAGCTCACATGTAGTCTCCTTGTTACTTAATGAGAGAGAGACTCTGAACTCCCCGGCCAATGTATCTTACAATAGCCTACTTATTTTTTCTAGGAATGCTGCCTTTGCATCTTTTATGTAACTTTCTGTGTGTTGGTAGAAAAGGTCACTTGGCTGCCAAAATTCACTGCCAAAGTCTTTCCTAATACAAATACACTGCCCTGAATTAAGCCACCTCTAGCTGTTCACTGTTCCCTTTTATCTGTGACAGCTGCTATTGCTGTGACTGCGAAGATTTCATTCCACATACCTAGAGACGAGAGTTCGCTGCCTCTCAGTATGTAATGTACGTCACTATATTGAACAACCAACATCAAGGTCACAGCTTTTCAAATTCCACGTAAAACAAACTTCCTTTCAGATATATACTTGTATACAGCTCAATTAGATTGTGCAGTGTAGCTCAGAGACTGATACGGCTTTCCAAAGGCCAGCTAATGACCTCTATTATTTGTTCTTGGATTCCTGGTAGGCGAGAAGTACTCTAGTGCATTGCGACTGCAGCAGCAAACATTCTGAAACTAACGAGATGCTTGGTAGAGAGAAAGGGATGGCAATTAAAGTGACCTGAACCATAAGTTGGATATAGGGGAATGGTGGGGGAAACAAAACCAGAGGCAAATATTTTGTAGTTGTGAGATACGGTATCACTGTCACTCTTGATGTGGTTTTGGTATGAACTATTGTATTTTAACATGCAAATTAACTAAACCACTACACATTTGTTGGACTGCTTTGGAATAAGGAGTCCAACTTCTCTGTATTTTGTTTAAACAAGTCTAAGACTAGCAGTGGCATTTGGTGCCTGGATTAATAAAATGGAGTAATGTAAAATCTGCTATTTTGCCACCCCTATGAAAAAACTGTGCATAGAGTTTTTGGGTGATTACACTATGACTTTAGTCTTCTGCATTTTTGTGGCTGCAAAGATATACAACAGAGCCTTCCAGTACAATAAAATGGTGTTGAGAGGGAGACTTTTGTTAATATTTGACACACATATCTCTTAGGATGCAAGCAGAGGTGAAAGTAAGGGAGTGCACCCTGCTGCACAGTTCCAGAAAGAATTGGCTGAGCTGTGGCAGCAGGGAGCTATCTAAAGAGCTGGCAGGGACCTGAGTTGTAAGAGGACAGTACCTGTAAGAAATTTAAGTTCCTTTCACTCCTGGGTGCAAGATACTGTACCTGTGCATGTTTTCAGCATCTTCTATGGTCTCAGGTAAAGTTTTTCCTTTGGTTTCAGGTAGGAGCAGCACCAGTCCTCCATCAATTAAACCTACCACACCTTGGAATAAATATCATGTAGAAGGGTTACACAGTAAGCATTAAGTGGTTTTAATATTCATTTACAGCAATGCCTATGAATTTGAGTCAAAGCTGCATTTACTGAATGACACAGAAGGCCTTTAAAAAAGCAAATGGCTGCTGATTTTTATCCATGTTGTTCCTTCTGAGATGAGGAAAGAGAGGCTGGGCCACTACCCCAGATGCGGTTTAGCCCCTGCACCACTCAGAAGGCTGCACAAAAGTGCCAGAATCTGGCTTTACCAGGTCAGCTGGAAATTCCTGTGTCAGGTACCTTCCCCCCCCCGTGTGCTTAGAAAGGGAAGGGATAGCACTCAGCTACCTCCGTCTGCCACTGTGGTCTGACCCCATAGGGACCATATGCCTGTGGTGAAACCCAAACCTAATCTAGCTGGTGTGTCTAACATCTTGCAAGCATCTCAAACATAATCCCAACAACAAGCCCACTGTGAAAGCAAATTAAGTGATTCAGGACATCGGCTGTGTCTAGACTGCAGGGTTTTTTTTGAAAAAACGTCACCTGTGTCTAGACTACAGCCTCGTTCTTTCGAAATTAAATCGAAAATGCGGCTTTTCTTTCGACAGCGGTACTCATCATTTCACGAGGAAGAACGCCTTTTTTCGAAAGTGCTTTCGAAAAACGGCATTCTTGAATGCAAACAGGGCTTTTTCGAAAGAGAGCATCCAGACTGCCTGGGTTCTCTTTTGAAAAAGCGGCTCACTTTTTCGAAAGAAGAGATTGCAGTCTAGATGCTCCTTTTCAAAAGAGGCTTTTTCGAAAGTATCTTTCAAAAAAGCCTCTTTTGAAAGAGGCTTGCAGTCTAGACGTAGCCATCTAGTGAATCTTTCTGTGAGGAGAAGCATAGGGAAGAATATAGTCTCCAGCTACATCTACACTGCAGGCTTCTTGTGCAAGAATGGCAGTTCTTGCGCAAAAACTTGCGGAGCGTCCACACTGCATGCGCATTCTTGCACAAGTAAATTTACAGTAAAGCATTGGAACAGAGGGCTTCATGTGCAAGAGTTATTCCTCTCCCCACGAGGAATAAGCCCTCTTGCGCAAGAGGGCAGTGTGGACGGGCAACGAGTTTCTTGCGCAAGAAACCCCTATGGCTAAAATGGCCATCAGAGCTTTCTTGTTCAAGAGCGCATCCACACTGCCATGGATTCTCTTGCACAAAAGCACATGGCAGTGTGGACATGCTTTGCGCAAGACCTTTTGCGCAAGAGATGTGTTCTTGAGTTCTTGCGCAAGAAGCCTGCAGTGTAGACATACTTCCTAGTATTTTCTACTAGGAAAGTTCTCTTAGGGTACGTCTACACGAGCGCCGTAGATCGATCTAGGGAGGCTAATGAGGGCAAATGGAATTGCAAATCAAGCCCATAATTTAAATATTCCACGCTCGATTTGCATGTTCTCGGCCAGTCGCCATTTTAGAAATTGACTAGCCCGAAGTAACTGCCCACGAGGAATACCACCTAATTCGATTTAGGGATTTATTCCAGAATCCCGTTTCACTGCCACGTGTCGACGCGGGCAGTTACTTTGGTTACTTTCAGCTTACAGACCTTTTCAGGTCTAGGAAATTAATTGTCACTGCTATATAAAAAGTTGAACATTGTGTAGCAGTAACTCTTTGAGTATGTATCCCAGACCAGAAGAAGAGCTTGTGTAAGCTTGAAAGCATATCTTTTTCATTCACAGAATGTGGTCCAATAAAAGATCAGCTCACCCACCTCGTCTCTTTAATATGACGGGACCAACACTGATACAAGAAAACTGTATATGGTAAATATTCACCCTACAATACAAAACTCTTACCAAAAACTACAAGTGGCAGTTCGTGCCAGACCTCTGCCAGTCTGTAGACAATGAATGGAGCTATGATCCCACCAATATCAGACATGGAAGAGCAGACAAGTACTCCCAAGTTCCTAGAAAATACATGTACATGAAATACTCCCACATTAATTTGTTTAAAAAGGATTCTGCAGCCATTCACTTAAACATTTTAGCAATACGTACAGAAGATTAGGAAAGCCATTCATGTTAACAATGCTATAAGGAGTGCATTTAATCTGCTGTATATTGCAATGGAAATGTCCCCACCAGGATAGGATAAGAACATAGTAGACTCTATAGCAGTGGTCTCCAATCTTTTTAAACACAAGATCACTTTTTGAATTTCAGTGCAATCCAGGATCTACCTGAAACCCAAATACCCTTGCCCCTCCTCCTTCATGCCTCTTCTCCAAGACTCTGCCTCTGTTCACTCCGTCCTCCTTCCTTCCCCCATCCTCCCTCCCTTCCAAAAGGCTGGGGAAGAGGGTTGGGGCACAGGCTCTGGTCTTGGGCTAAGAGATTTGAGATGTGAGAGGGGCTCTCAGTTAAGCCTGAGGCAGGTATTTGGAGGTATAGGAGGGGGTTCAGGGTACATGTTCTCTAAGGGAGTTTGGGTCCAGGGGGGTTCAGGGCTAGGGCAGGGGCTAGGGTATAAGAGGGGGGTACATAACTGGGGCAGCGGTTTGGAGCTGGCTGTAGTTGGACACTGCTTATCTCAGGTGGTCCTGGTTGGTGGTGCGGTGGGGCTAAGGCAAGGTCACCTCTGCCCTGGCCCTGCACCACTCTCCAAAGCAGCCAGTAAACGTCCTCCATCCCAAGCCCTGTTGTGCCCCCTCCCTTCCATTCTGTGGAGATAGAATACAGGGTGGGAGAGGGGGCACCCTGACATCAGCACCCCTCCTCTCCCTTCCCTACTCTGCACAGCAAGCAGGAGGCTCCCAGGGGGGAGGGCAGCTTCAAGCTTCTTAATTGGGTTGTTTTTAGGAGGGTAGGGGAAAAGGATGAGGCTGGAGGAGGCATTGAAGTGATTTGTGATATATCAGTTTCAGAAACCTACCCCCTTTAGGGTATGGCTAAAAAAGGTACATAAAATGCGCTCCACATTTTGCATACCTTTTTCCGATTCTATTGTCGGAAGAGGCTTTCCTGACATTTGGCCCATCTAGACTAGGCCAAATGTTGGGGGAAAAGCCCTCTTTCAGAAGCCCCCTTCTTCCTTGTAGAATGAGGAATACTGGGGCTTCCAAAAGCACACATTTGCTCTTCCGCAAAAAAAAAAGCAGAAGAGCAAACATGTTCCCTGGATGCAGCAGAGTTTTTTGGGATACCTCCCGAATACCCTGCAGTCTAGCTGTATCCTGCATCTGTGGTTTTTGTTCCTCCAAGTAGTGTAAGCAAAGGGAGAAGGAGGCTAGGGTAGAGAACAGAACCTGGGTCTCTTTTGGCACCATAGTGTGTTTGCTGTACGTTACCTGCATCATATGCAATTTATTTTGCAAATACGAAATGACTTTTTTTGGGAACTACATAGCCAGCAGCTTCCCTTCCTGTAGTTATAGTCTCCAGTCAGTCTCCAATGGCAACACCCAGTCCCCATTTGTTTTCTCCTGGCTTGCTTCCTCTAGATCTCTGTTGCAGCAACTTTTTCATTCTTCATTGCCTCTTTTTTAACTATCTTTGGTGGTACAGCCTTTCTGCATCACCACAGTTACAGCAGAGACAAGGCGTATCTTCCTTCAGGACTGAATCAATCTTAAAACCAGCCAGAGCCATGACTGTTCATTGTCTGTGACCTACAAACTAAATATCCATCCACAAAGGCATTCTTCTTAAATCCAAGCCTGTTTTCTGGTACCTGAAACAACTTTTACAGTGAATGTTCTACATCAAGATCTGCTCCATTGGGCCATGCAATATATTTGACTGGGTTATGTTATGTCGTGGGGAGTTTCACAGTATAGGAAGAAATCAGTGGAGATGCAGAGAGCTTGAGTGTCCATTTTATTGCATAGCACAGAACTAACTAGAACAAGCCCAGACTAGCTGGGCTGACCCCAGTGACCTACTCAGTTACTATAACAACAAGATCTATATCTACAACCCAATATACAACAGGTTAAAGGTAGCCCACTGTACAGTTCAATTTTTAATGACATTTGATAGATTTTTTTCCCTGTCTTTTCTAATGTGCAGTCTTTGGCTTTTTTTTCCCTGTGATACCCTTGAATCTGTAAATAGAGCCACATAGTACTCTTCCCCACCACCTTTTATATTGGATTCGGCGAAAGACGGTGCACTCACCTGAGAAAGGTTGGGTACAATTCTGCATTTACTAGGCAAACCATTTCATAGGTCATGGTAATTCCCATTCTGCCCAAGCAAGCTGTAGTAATTTTTAGCCAGTAGATAGCTGGAAAGAAGTCGCATGTTAGCATTACAGTGGGGGCTGGCTTTATCAATCATGTTGTACAGCAGTGTGAAAGACGGCAGGTAGTAAATCCCATTCAGCACTGGAACCCCATAGGGGATCTATGTCTATGTTCTCCTTTTACTCCATACTAGATTATAATGCTAATACCTCAGAGCAGTGGGGGCAGCCTAGGCTAGTGAGTGGGCCGCAGGAGTAGCCCTCCTTCATCTCACTGGGCTGGAAGGTTGTCGTAACCAAGGCAGTCTCCCAGTTTTGCTAACTGCTCTTGCATGCCTAGAATTAGCAAGGTGTGCTGATTGCATCCAATCATTGCACTGCTACAGTTAAGAGGGAGCACACAGCTCTCATAATGTCATTGGCTATCAGCGTCCATCTCTCTTCACGTGCCCTTTTGCTTTAAGTGCATGTCATTTTTGTAATACTCGTAGGAGAAAAAAACCACACGGATGAAAACCAGCAGAATCTGGCATCCCTGTAAATGGACAATGGTCAACAAAACTGTCTCGTGGGCCACACGTAGAACCCCTGCGGGCCGCGTATGGCCCTCAGGCTGCAGGTTGCCCACTATTGCTTCAGAGCACTTTGGGTTTGTCAGGTGCTACACAGCCATGAAGTAATTGATCCCTAAAACACTCCTGTGTGGTAGGGTAAGCAGCGATCGTTTAATTTCTCTATTTGTAAAAAGAAAGCAGAGAAGATAAAGTTGCATATCCAAGGGACACACCCTTCCCCCCACCACACACAAAGTAATGGCATAGTAAGGATGTACAAAGACATGGTTACACAAATGGTGTGCTTGTGACTGTGTAAGAGCTGATGTCATTTGGGAAGTTTAGCTCATTATGTACCCTGTTTTTCAACACTTGCCATATAAAATGCTTTTAGAAAAAAATTATGGGTCATTTTTATCTTCACTGATGTCTGGGGAAAATATCTATGATTCCTATAATTTATATTGCAACATTTATGTGAACTATAGCAGCAAAAATGTTTTTTTTTCAGTACTCTAGAACAAGAATATACAAAGTGTGGGAGCAGGGGAGCGCACGTTATCTCTCTCAAAGGAGACAGTGACACAGACTAAAAATAGCTTGAGTAACTTACAGTCTGGGACAAAAGCTGTAATAAGGCAGGCTGCTCCTGCCACCAGATTTGCTACAGCCCAAGGATAGCGACGGCCGATGCGCTCGATTGTGAGTATAAGTATGAGGGCAGCTGGGAATTCAACCAGTGCAGAATAGAAGAAATCCAGGTAGATGTTTCCACCAGCAATCCCCATGTGCATGATGAGCCCCTGGTACAGAACAGAGCTTGTGAACCTAGGCAGAGAGCAGAGCCCAGTTGAAGCCAAGTTTGCAAAGGGATAGATTATTCCATGATTTAAGATTCACTGCCAGTCAAGGGCCATATGAGGAAAACAGATCGAAAGTAATTATGGGGAGAGGTCTAATACTTTGAAATGCAAACTGTGTTATCTTCCCTTACCATGTGTACATCAAAATGAGTGTATGTTTCCTTATCTGAGGTGTTCTGACCAGGTCTAGAAATGAAGGGGTCATCTTTTCTCCATTTTCCTCTTCAGGGCTGAGATTCTAGGAAAGAACCAGAGGGTCATTAAGGAAGATGTTAGGGTGTTAGAGTCTGGGGATTTTGGCCTTGTTTATTTTCATTGGCTCAACATAAGCATCATAGTTTCTGGGGTTTTTCATTAATCAATTAAGAGTCGGTCTGCAAAGTAAACAAAAAATGAGGGGCAGTGTGGATATTTAAACAGCCCAGCCTTTCCCCCAGCTGTTGGTCTGTACCGAAGCCACTTCGTTAAAGGAAGCAACATTTCTTTTTAAAAATAAATGAATACAGGATACATTGGCATTTTCAGTCAGTTGTGACCTGGTTGGTGGAATAGAGCTTGTGAACCTAGGCAGAGAGAAAGCCCAGCTTAAGCCAAATTTGCAAAGGGACAGATTATTCAAAGAATTAGGATTCATTGCCTCTTTCTAAAATGAAGAACCCAAGTTGGCTCTTGGAATATTTTGAGTCTCCATTCATATAAAGGTGTGGTTTTAATATGCTAGGCTTTCACCAAAGAAAACCCTCAACTCCACTTTGCAGATTTGCAGCACTTTCACAGTTTGCTCCCTGTGCTGGATTTGAAGCAATCTTAACCATATAGCATTGTTTGCTTGTAATTACACACCCAGGGAGGGAGGGGAGAAACCATGATCACCTGTAAAAAGGGAGGCACCTTTTTCCCATTTCCTTTGGCAATACGGTTAATAATTTTCATGGCTTTGTCATTTTTCTGTTGAGTTATCAGCCACCTGGGTGACTCTGGCAGACACCTGCAACACAAGGAACCAGGCACAGGTATATGGAAACAAAATATGTCACTGCAACATTATATATTCAAACTAAATTGTGTTTCTGTTGATAGGACATGAAGGGGAACAGAACACCTATAACTGCACCTGAAGCATGGAGGAGCCCAAGATGCTTAGCTACTCTCAGGGTCATCATTAAATGGTCCCGGGTCACTAGGGCCATCTAATCTGTCCTCTAGCATAATACAGGCAAGATAACTTTCCCAAAATAATTCTTGGGGCAGATCTTTTAGAAAAACATTCAATCTTGATTTCAAAATTGCTAGTGATGGAAAATTCCCCCACAACGATGTAATCAGTCTGAATTTACCTAGTTTCAACTGCTAGCCAATGACTATGTATAGATTAGAAAGCCCACTGTTAGAATCATAGAATAATAGGACTGGAAGGGACCTCAAGAGGTCATCGAGTCCAGCCCCCCGCCCTCAAGGCAGGACCAAGCTCATCTACACCATCCCTGACAGATGTCTATCTAACCTATTCTTAAATATCTCCAGAGAGGGAGATTCCACCACCTCCCTTGGCAATTTATTCCAATATTTGACCACCCTGACAGTTAGGAATTTTTTCCTAATGTCCAATCTAAACCTCCCCTGCTGCACTTTAAGCCCATTACTCCTTGTCCTGTCCTCAGAAACCAAGAGGAACAAATTTTCACCTTCCTCCTTGTGACACCCTTTTAGATATTTGAAAACCACTATCATGTCCCCCCTTAATCTTCTTTTTTCCAAACTAAACAAGCCCAGTTCATGAAGCCTGGCTTCATAGGCTTCTCTAGACCTTTAATCATTCTTGTCACTCTTCTCTGTACCCTTTCCAATTTCTCCACATCTTTCTTGAAATGTGGCGCCCACAACTGGACACATTACTCCAGCTGAGGCCTAACTAGTACAGAGTAGAGTTAAATATTTATTTCCATGTAGTATTTATAAACTGTGAACAAGTCATCCCTTTACAAAGGAAGGTTGAGCTCCTTGAGACTGTTTAGTTTAATCAGTATAAGGCAGGTTTTCAAGACCTTTTGCTCATTCTTGTAGCTCTTCTCTAAACCCTCCCCAATTTATCAACATTCTTGCTGAATTGTGGTCACCAAAATTGGACACAGCATTCTCTCAAGTGGTTACACCAGTGCCAAAAATGGAGGCAAAATAATCTTTCTATTCTTACTAGATATGGTTTGATTTTTGGAAAAAAAAACAGAATTTACTGTATTTTGAAAGAATGTAAAAAATTTTGTCCAGAAATATGAGATAGGATTAACATTTTTCTAAATTGTGATAATACTTTTTGCTGAAATTCTGACAAAATAGTCAGTAAACTATTTGTAGATCTGTTGTATCTATTGTTTGCCATTTTAAACCAATAGAATCATAAAAATGTTGGGCAGCTCTACTCTGGACTCTTTCTAATTTATCCACATCTTTCCTAAAGTTTGGCCCCAAACAGGGGACATACACCAGCTGAGGCCTTACCTGTTCTGAATAGAGTGGGACAATTACCTCTCATGTTTTATATATAACATTCCTGTTAATAAATCTCAAAAATTGTATTTTTCTTTTTCTCTTCTGCATTACATTGTTGACATATATTCAATTTGTGATCCACTATAGTGGATAAAATGTTGTAGTTGAAACCTTTTGACTAGCCTTAACAATGAACTAACCTTGTCAGAAGGGAGCTCAAACTGTAAAATAACGTCTTCATTTTGTATTTTTGCTTTTTGAGGAAATACAAATGTGCTTACCAGTAATAGAGCAAGAAGAAGAAATTTGGCAGGGTAACAGCGAGTTGCAGCCATCTCCAGTGAGGAACCAAATAAGCAATAGCAGAGAGTACAAGGAGTCCAACAGTAAATGCTACTTGGTAAACAATTCCTACTGTCCTTCTATAGCTTAAGCCAACAAATTCTGTGACTAGAAAGATAGCACAAGTCAAGATAGAAAATAATCAGTGGTAAATTAATCTAGAGATTGGAGAATCTAGATCCCCTAATTTAAAACCATTTAAAATGTTATAGATTCTAGAATTTATGACTTTGTAAAATTTCTATCTAGAAGCCGTAAGAGTACTTTAAATTGAGTTCTCATCAATGATGTAAAATAACTTTTTAAAAATCAAATGGATTCTACATATTCATGATGAGAACAGAAATATGTAGAGTTTTATGAAAAAGTTTGGACATTACTAAATCACAGTAAAATTCGAATAGTGATTTTGATAACTAATATTTGGTAACTAATATTTACTTTTTAAAATGAAGCCACTAAATGGAAAATGGCAGTAGATTTGGGGAGGGAAGCCAGAGGAGGAGGTAAAGAACTTACAGTTGATATCTTGAGAATGTGGTGTGTGTGTAGTTTAACAGAAAAGTGTAAAATGTTGATGTCTGGTTGTAAGAACTTGTATTAAAAGCTGTTTGGTACGATTATGTGCATATTTCATTTTTAGATTTCTCTTTCAGAAAGGGCTTGGTAGATTTTGCAGATAGAGATAAGAAAAGAGTATTTGTGTGTCGGTGTTAAGGGTGTTGGGTTGTGATGAAATATGCTTTTTTTTTTGTACTTTGTTGTGAATAGCAAGTGAAATCCTGCCCTCGTTGAAGAGAAAGGGAATTTTACCACTGACGTCAGTAAGGCCAGGAGTTCATCCATTAACTTGTTTTGAGGACAAAGAATGTGTTTATCTATTCGTTCCTTGCATTGAAGTGCTTTGCTAAATGTAAATAGTAAGTACAATATTGTCACATGGGAATCTTACCTTGCCTGGAAATAAAGTTTTTTTTATAAAGTGTGAAGTCATGGAACCACAAAAAGTCTGGGGAACACAAACTTCATTTTGGACACTACTCCTAACTTTTGGAAGCCAGCCCCACTCAGGCGATATGTATGGGTATGTATACACTACAGCTGGGGGTGTACGTCTCAGCCTGGGAACACAAATGTACTAGCTCAGCTCAAGCTAGTGTGCTAAAGATAGCAGCACGGATGTTATGATACAGCCAGTGATGTGGGCTAGGCACCCAAATAGCAGCTCCTTCAATCCATACTTAGATGGCTAGCCTGGGTCTTCCTGGGCTCACACTTAGCTGCTATGTAGACATCCCCTTAAAATGCATTCTTCCTTTGACAGCATTTTCAATTAATCCAGCTCCCTATGTGGGTACTTATTTGAACATAGGCTGGTTAATGTTGGGAAGGCTCAGTGTTTTCTGAAATTGTCTGTCTTTTTCCAATATGTTTAGCTTTCTCAAAACTTAATGGAGAATGTCAAGTTTTTAGATCTGAAAACCCTGATATTGTCTCATCTGAAAGAAAATGCAACTTTGACATAAATCTTGGTTTTGAGCATAGAACTGCAGTTTTTCGATGAATAAAATGAGTTTCATTTTTCAATGTGTTACCCAGTGAGCTAATCATTCCTTCCATTCAGCTGTATTAGAATTAATCTGTGAGGCCTATTTCAACACCTAGGGCTTTTCCCCCAGACTGGGTGGTCATTGCAATCTGTCTTACTTAATATGTAGCCGGTTAACCAGGCCCCCTTGCTGACCAGTCCTTGTATGAAACGATAGATCAGCATCCATGTGTAGCTTGGTGCAAAGGCCATGAGAACTCCAGAAATGGAATTGACAAGGATTGTAATTAACAGGCATAATTTGCGACCAAACCTGCAGAGAAACAAATGCATCTGTGATCATTATATGCATTGCACCATTCAAAACATAACTGAAGAGCAAATTTTCTTGTGAGAGTTGCACTGGTTACAAAGCAACACTTTTTGAATCCATTCTATTGAAAAATCTCTTATTTCTTCTCCCAGGTTTTGTTCAGAGCACTTTCTCACATACGTACAGTTTAACCCTGTAATGCAATATCTGAATTAATCTAAAGAGA